CAATATCTCTAATTAATTTTACATAAATTTTATATTAGATTTAATTAAAATAGGGATTTTTTATTTTGTGCCTAAAGGGTGCACTAAATGCACCGTTTTATAATTAATACATATAGAAATTGATAAAAATTAATTTGAATTTAATTAATAGTTTAATTAAAATTATCCACATGACAATGACATTAAAATAAATATTAACTTTTATTATTTTTTATGAAAAATTAATTACAAAAAAGTGCATTTATTGCACCTTAACCTGTGCCCTTAGGACACTGGTTAAACAAACCTATTAAAATAAAATATAAAATGTAAAATTGAAATAAAATATAATATTTATACTCGAAATCTACAAAAAGATACGAATCTAATATGAAAATTTGTATAAAATTAATTATAGATTCCATAATTAATAAACCTTAGAGTACATGTTAGACAAACTCATATTAAAAACATAAATTTTAATTTTTAATTTAAAATTAACCAATAAAAATTTGACATGTGGTATTTGTCATTAAAATAAAAGTTAATTTCTTTTTTTTTTTAACAAATAATAATAACTATTACATAATTAATACTCATTTTCTAGTGTCATAAGCACACAAGATAAATAAACCTAATTTTATATGGTGTAGACTACACAAAAGCATTTCTTATTTACTAATAATTAATAAGTACTTACATTAATTTTATTTACGGTGAAATATGTCATAGGCTAATATGGGTATAGTTACTTCTCCAAGCACGATTGTCCCTGAAGTTCTCAAAGAAGATAATTATGAAAGATGGAGCATTTTAATGGAACACTATTTAGTGGCTCAAGATCTCTGGGAAGTTATTCAATCATACAGGATGCCTCGAGGAGGAAATAAGAGGGAATGGATGAAAAAGAATGCTTTAGCTCTACATGCCATTGGGATTTCTTGTGGAAGAGAAACATTTGATCAAATAAAGAATATACGCTCCGCCAAATGTGCTTGGGATGCGTTGGCTGCTAAGCTGACACCCCCATCAATTGTCCAAGATGTTACTCCTGATATTTTTGAGCTCCACCAAGAAAGGCAAACAGGTTCCGTTTTTTATTTAAATTCTCCTTAATATCCCATCTCACTGTTGGAGCTATTTTTTCCGCATTGGTCATTGATGAGGTTTAGCAATCAAGTTAACTATATATATTCTATTTTAATTTTACAGAGATGTCTTTTACAGTTTGTT